TTTCTTGTATGCAACAGATACCTGGCTTGAGTTTTTGTATCCAGTCAGCCAGCCTGTGTCTCTTTAGAGGGCAGTTTAAGCCATTTACATTGATTGAGACTATTGATAATCCTGGCATAATTTTGGTAATCGAGTTTTTTGAAGGTTCATTAGACATCTTTGATCCTTTTGTCACTGTAGAGAATGGAATTTAGTCAAAATTTTCTGGGTGGGTTTATTCATGTGGTGGAGGAGTGCACTGGTCCTTATGGAGGATAGGTTTGAGGATATCCTGGAGGGCTGGTTTAGTAATGGCAAATTTCTTCAACATGTGAATATCATTAAAGTGTTTAATTTCTCCATCATAAATGAAGCTCAGTTTAGCTGGATAGAGGATTCTGGGTTGAAAGTTGTTTTGTTTTAGGAGGTTTAAGGTCGGTGACCACCCTCTTCTAGCCTGAAAGGTTTCAGCCGAGAGATCTGCAGTCATTCTAATATTATTCCCCTTGTAGGTTAATGTTTTCTTGCATCTAGCTGCTTTCAGGATTTTCTCTTTCATGTTAACTTTAGTGAAGTTGATTATGATATGCCTGGGGGATGTCTTGTTCGAGTTGAGTCATGCTGGGTTTCTGAAGCTGTCTGCTATCTGAATTTCAGGGTCCCTTGGCATGTCTGGAAAGTTCTCTTTCATAATTTCGTTAAGGCGTGCCTCTGTATTTTGTGAAGCAACTTCGTCACCTTCAGGGATTCCTATAAGGCAAATATTAGTTTTCTTCGAATTATCCAAGATCTCTCTGAGTGAGAGAGCTGTTTTTATTCTCCATTTGTCAAAATCTTTGGAAGTCTGGGTGCATTCAAAGTCTTTGTCTTCAGTATTGGAGATCCTATCTTCTGCCTCATCCATCCTCTGACAGAGGGATTCAACGGTGCTCTTCAAATCTGCAACCTCTTGTTTCAGAGTATCGTAATCCTTGATCATTTTATCTTTGAAATCATTGAATTCCTGGGACAGCTTTTGAATGATTTGAAATTCTAGCTCCCTCTTTTCCTCCAACCTGTTGATCTTACTCCCTATCCAGATTCTGAACTCAATTTCTGACATTTCAGATATCTGTTTATGTAGTGGGTCTTCCATTGTGTCTACCCCATCTTTCTTTGGGGGAGGTTAATCTACTCTGGTTATTCTGATTGCCAGAGTTTTTCCACTGATTCCGTCCCGTGTTGAATTTGCACCTTTCGGAAACCGTCCCTAAAACTGTTCTGCCAGTGGCTGCTTCTAGTTTTCTCCTGGGCACAACCCGGCAAGACCCCGGGAGGCGGAGCCAGCAGGCAGGGTGATGCAGCCCACCCCTGCAGGAGTCAGTGTCACCGTCAAGGCCCTGGGAGGCAGGCGCAACCTGCCCCTGTGTAGGTCAGTTGTCCTTACTGGCAACCAAAGCCTGGGAAGCAGATGCACGGCTGGCGGGATGGCGCAACCCTCCCAGGCAGAAGCTGCTGGTGACAGCAAGCTGGCAAGGTCCTAGAATGCAAGTGTTTGGCTTCACGACCTGCCCCAGGAGAAGTCAGTTGTCCTTGCAAGCCACCAAAGCCCCAAATGCTGGATGGCGCAACCCTCTCTGGTAGGAGTTGGCAGTGATCGCGCGCTGGGAGGTCCCGGGAGGCAGGCACACGTCTGCGTGACCTGCCCCTGAAGAAGTCAGCTGCCCTCACATGCTGCCAAGCCCCAGAGAGGGGCGTGCCACTGGCAGGATGTCGCAACCCTCCCCAGCAGGAGCTGCTGGCGACTGCCAGCTGACAAGACCCCGAGGCAGACGAGACTGCACGACCCGCCCAGCAGAAGTCAGTTCCCCTCACTGGCCACCAAAGCCCCGGAGGCTGGGGCGCGACTGGCAGGACGGCGTGACCCTCTCAGGCAGGAGTTGGTGGTGATCCAAGGCCAGGGGGCCCCAGGAGGCAGACGTGCAGCTGTTTGACCTGCTCTAGAAGAAGTCAATTGCCCTCACCTGCCACCAAAGCCCTGGAGGCAGGCAAGCAGCTGGTGGGACTGCGCGACCCTCGTCAGCAGGAGTCGATGGCAGCCGCAGGCCAGCAGGGCTCTGGGAGGCAGGCATGGCTCAGTGACCCAACCCAGCAGAAGTCAATCACCGTCAAGGGCCACCAAAGACCCAGAGGCGGATGCCTGGCCAGGTGTATAGCCCTCCCTGTCCGGTGTCAATCTCAGTCACGGGCATCTAGGTCTCGGGAAGTGCAGACAGTAGCCAGGGAGACAGCCGAGCACAGAATGCGCTAACTGAGGGTGACCTGTCTGCTCGCAGAAAGCGTGGATCAAGCAGTTCTCCTGGTGAAGGACTGGGACGGGGGCTTGGTCTTGAAAGGGTGGGTGGATATTGTTCTTGGGTCTCCTCTCCCTGTCCCAGCCGGCAAGGGGAGGGAGAGTGGACTGGAAACTCAAAATGGCAGTGCGAACGCCAGTTCCACTTTTCTGCCTGGGGGAGGGTGTTCCAAGTCTCAACTGGGTTCCTCCAGGGTAGTGAACTTCCCTGTTGGCAGCTCTCACTCGTAGAGTGAGAGATTAGGTCCTCAGTTTATCGGTGGCCTGTAGGAGTCTCGGTTGAAGAGGAAACAAAGGAAAAGCACCTTTCTTGGGGGAGGGGCTGGGCGCTATTCCTTTGGGGTGATTTATGTACCTGCGGATTGTCCTCTAGGAGTCTCTGCCTGTCTCAGAAGAGGTGTCCTGCTGGTATCACTCTTCTCTCTCAGCTGGGCTCCCAGTTTTCGACTTTGTTGGGGGTTTCTCTGGACTTTATCCTTTCCTCTAAACGGGGGATTCTGTCGGAGACTGGTGCCTGTCGGCCGTCTTGACCCTCCCCTACTCAAGTACTTTTAATGGAAAACTTTTCAAGTCTTCATCAAATTGAAAGTTATAGTCTTCTTTTCAGAATGTATCCCTTGAGTTCAGTTGTGGAGTCATGATTATAATTTTTCGTGTATCTACTAGATCTGCCAGCAGAACATATTTGCTGTAGGATTTAAATGAAATTCTTCATATAAAGGTTTTAGCACAGGAGCTGCTCTGTAGAGAGAGCTTCGTCAGTAGCCATGTTGGGAGGCTCACTTTGGGTAGCAGGGCCTTTCTCTGGTGCTGTTCTGAAGATGCAGCTGCCACTGCAGGGGGGTTTATGGTGGTCCAACTGCCCCGTGCTCCCTCTGCCCGACAGCTGAAGTGAAGACACCCCTGAATTCCAATGCTTGATTTACTCCCACTTCTTGGTGTCTGGTCATGGCAGGATGCACACAAAAATGGTAACAATGTCCTGAAGCTCCTGGTCCCTGGTCTAGTGAACAGGTTTATATACCCCCTTCATACCACCTACTGTTGTGTTTTTACATGACTCACTTCACATTCAGTCCCTTCAAAGCAGACGACAGACTGAACAGGGAGTCTGTCTGGGTGCTGGGTCATCACGCTCAGCTGTTGTGGCCCCCTTCCTCCTCCTTCCAGAGGGGCACAGGAAGTCCTTACGCTTGAGCACACCAGCTCTGAGGGCCACTGGACTGAAGTGCTTATTCCCAGCTGAAAGTGCTGGCCCTCCCTGGTCTAGTCCTGTTCCTCCGGTAAGCAAGTCATCATCATTGTTGTCGTTGCTGTAATCATCCTCTAACACATCGGTCCTGATCTACCTTTCCAGCCTCATCTTCCACCACTGCCTTCCTCATGCCTCACAGTTCAGCCAAATTAAGTAGGATATATCCTCTCAAATTGCAGTTCAAGCTAGCTTCTCTCCTAACTCCAGACTTATATATCCAATTATGTACTTAATAATTTCACGTGGACAGAGAATAGGTAATCTTAAACTCATTACGTCCAAAACGAAATTCCTAATTTTTTCTTTAGTGTTCTGTAAGTTTTAGCTTATTTTCTGGAAAAGGGAAGCATCTATTCTGTTTTATACATGTCCTGCACAAGTTGGCAAGTTCAGCCTTAGAAATGCAGTGTGAGGCTTGTTCAGTGTGAGAACTTTCTCCAGCTGGAGCAGTGTGAACTGGTCTCCACTCTGCATCATGTATTTAGAATGTGCTTCTTTTGTTGCTGAGCCAAATATGGATTCTTCATGATGGCCTTGTTTTGATGTCATTTCTTTTATTGATTCCTCAGGTATATATTTCAGTGCCTATTCAGCTCCAAGGGCTGTGTAAGAGGCTAAGACTGCACCTGTGAACCAGATAAGCAGGGTTCTGGCCCTCAGAAACTATGTACAGACAGCCCTCAACTTAGGATAGTTTGACTTATGATTTTTTGATTTTATGATAGTGAAAAAGTGGTATGTATCCAGTAGAAACTACTTCAGGATACTCACCAGTAATGCTGGGAAGTGGCAGAGAACTTCAGCTCCCAGTCAACTACATGACATGAGAGCAAACAACTGATCTTCCATAATCAAGTACTGTATTCAGGAGACTGCATGAGACAGTCAACACTTTATTATAAAATACGCTTTGTGTTAGATGCTTTTTCCTAACTGTAACTAATGTAAGCGTTCTGAACACATTTATGATGCATCCTAGGCTAGCCTAAGTTCCGATGTTCGGTAAGTTACAGGATTGAATGCACTCCGACTTTGATGACTTTATCAGGACATAACTTCAATATAAGTCAAGGATCATCTGTACACTTAAGTAGAGAGATTTTTTACAATAAATAGTAAACTAATCAATGCAATAAACTAATAAATAAAGTCATTCCAAATCACGAAAAGCAAAGAGAAGAGTTAGTATGATGAATCCAGGTGTTTCTGGAGGTGGAATTACTATTCTCTACTATTCCTTAGATACCATTCAAGCTAGCAGCAACACTTGGTCAAATTTAATGAACTTTTATATCCTACACCAACTCTACAACTGAGTATGGCTTATTTTTACTTAGATGGGGACTCTTGTTAATAAGAGAGCACCTACATAAAGTGAATTCACCATTTGTGATTTCCCAGAGATTGGAAGACCTTATGGTTTCCTGTAGATTTATTTCCTGTGCTTCTGCTGCCAAAATTCTTGCCGCCTCCCTCTAGCTACCTGTTTTTGTTCAATGGCCCTTCTTGAGTTCTGGTGCAAGCTCTTGCCCACCTATGTCCTCTAGGACATTGAGCATGCTGACTAATGACTTGTCGAGTTTGTTGTCTCCAGTTTTTGAATGATAAATTGCTGCTCCAGGCTGTTTGCCATCTCTTCCTTCTGGAATAACATCCCTTCTAGTTAAGTCTTTTCTTGAATTTGTGATTCGGATTTTTCTTTTTCTTCATTGCGTCTTTCTTCAGCATATGTTTATTTGGCTTGTCCTAAGGCCTCTGGACTAGCACCAATTTCATCTAGTGCTTACCTGAAGTACTCCGGCCAGGGTTGGCTTTTCTGCTGTGTGTTCCTGCCATGGTGTATTAATTGCCTGTGAACAATTCGGATATATATCTTCTATCCAGAAATGCTGTATTCCCCAAGATAAAGTTATGTGAGTGTAAGTAACTCCTCAATATGCCTTAGTCTGAATGTGCTAAAGGACTTCCCCAGAGGTATCCTTGACAAATGGCGGCCGTTTCATTTGGGGGTATATGATCCCACCATGTTACTCCTCGCCTTATGTCACTCTTGATTTGCCCTTTATGTCTTCCTCCAACCCATCACATCTAATTCTCAGGAGGTCAGGCAACACCTCTCTGACCTCACCCCAGGATACCATCCCACAGCACCCTGAACTCCACAGCACACTGCCTACTTGAAGCCACTTAATTTGTTATTGCATATACTATAATAATTTGCTTAAGGCCTGTCACCAATGCTAGTTGCTAAATCTAGTTAGGATAGGGATTGCACTTATGACTACATCCCCTGGCCAAGTAAAGTGCCTGAGGCAAAGTAAATGCCCAACAAATACCACTGACCAACTGACCAATGGACTTAGGTTTTATGTCCTGAAATAGTGGAGAGAGCTCGTGGTCCTGGCCACCACTAGAATACACTTCTGTCCTACAGCACATGTCTAAACTCTGCAGTGATCTTTCATTTTTAATCTTTCACCAACTCCTAAAATCTAATTACTTAGAAAACCAGCACACACATAGGCTTCCAATAAGCAGGGTTTGTAGGGTGTCTGTGCCCAGGTACTACAATCTTCTCACTATTGAATTTTGGGCTTCTTCACTCAAATTATCTTTTTAAAAGAGTATTACCATGTCTTTTTCTGTGTTTACAAGAGTGCCGATGAACTGCTGTAATTAGTTCCAAAGCTTTAGAGATTTTTTTATTTCTGGAATTTCTCCAACCCAGCAGAACACAAAGAGCAAATTTATACTCCTCTGCCTTGGGCAAAGCAGTGAAGTGGAAAAACTTCATTGTTGATGCTGCCTCCTGAGTCCCCCCTGTCAGCTGTCCCTCTTCTCCCGACTCCCCCTCCACACTGGGATCATCTTTTCCATTGCCACCCCAGATGGCTCCCTCGTTCTGAACCTTGCCTGGCTCTTCTCTCTACATCCCCTATTTTAATGCCTGCCTTAGACATCTCTGCTCCAGAGAGCTCCACAGCTTGGCTTTGCTCCTGCAAAGTCGTTCATGGCCACTAACTGCCAGGATGTTGCCCCTGTCAGAGTGGAGGGATAAGTTTGCAATTCTGTAAGGCCTCTCAGATGGGTGCTATTTAACACAAATAACTGATTCCACTGGTAGGGGCATCAGATTTCTAGGATAAAGAAGGAGAGACATGGGGACAGTTGGAACCTTGCAGGCGTCACAGGGGAAATGGGGAAACATTTCAGAGGCTTTGGAGCCAACAGACTTGCAGTGATGGGGATCCTAGGGTAATGATACTTGGAGAAGATAACTTTTTAAACACTCTCCTCTATACCAAAAAATCATTTGCAATAAATAACTTTAAGTTGACCTGTTTTTATTCATTCTGCAGTAAACATTTATCCACATGGAATTTAATTGAGAGAACTCAGGAGCACACTGTGGCTACAGTTCATGTTTCCAGCCCCTGTGGAAGTTCACATTCCCTCGCTGAGGTTAGAGAGTCAGAATAAACATGATATCACAGTGGCTGAAAGACAAAGGACCAGAACTTGAGCCACTTCAGTTCTAACACCCTGTGGGTTCATTTGGAATGTTTAATCTGTTGAAAATATAAAACAGGAAAACAGTGTGGCTAGAGTGATTGTTTAAAAACCATGCCTGGGGTACAGTGTGATGTTTCTATACACAATTTGAAATATTTTCATCAAACTGGTTAATGTACACAGCTATGATGTAATGCGGAAAAAAAGAATAAAATCTAAAGAAACTTGGAAAAAAAAAAAAAAACATGCCTGGCTGAATGTGATCCAGGGGTCCGTCTCTGGTCTCCAATATGCTTCAGAGGCCATTGTGGCTTTCACATAGATTATTAAAACTCAACAGTAACTACACAGTAATTGCTTAGAAACTCTTAGACCAACAATTGATATGTGGGGTGGAATATTTTACCAATAACTTTACTCAGGATTCTCTGGGCTTAAAAATAATGAAATGTAGAAGAATATTTATCCACTTGTATTATAGTTTTTAACTTCTCTGCCAACTCTGCACCCTTTCCATGCAGCCACTTGGGGCAGAGTACATCCTGTTGCCCTGGGTGGTCACTGTAGATAAGTTCAGATCCACACTGTGGGATTTACTGTGCAATCTTGAACAAATTTATAAATAAATAAATTTATTTATTTATTTTTAAAATTCATATATACCATTATTGAGTGCTTAAAATGTCCTGAGAGCATGTAAAGGGCTTTGCACACACATTTAATATTCACAACAACCCTATTAGGTGGGAACTTTCATTCTCTCTGCTTTGCAGATGAGGAAACTAGGACTCAGAGAATTTAAATCATTTGCCAAATGTTCCTTCCATGAGCAAGCTGTAGATCTGAGACTTGAGTTTAGGACTGTTTGACTTCAAATCATAGGCATATGATCTTCTTCAAGCAGCACTTCTCTCATGTATGAACGGGGATAATAATGTCTAGGTGACATACCCTTCCCCCTTCCCTAGTCCCAGCCTTTCTTCCAGCTTCATTTCCAGATGTCTCCCTCTCCGCTTGGCCCTTTCCAATACACTTTTGAAAACTCAGCTCAGACATTGTTCTCAGAGAGGCAGCACTTCTCGACCCTTCTCTTGCCAGTACCCAAGCCTGAGCTAAGTGGCCCCCAGTATGGTCTTCCCATAGGGTTCTGCACATAACTCCAACTCCACACCTCATGCCCAATGGACATGGTCTATGAGTCTGTCCCCACAGCCATCCTGGAGGGCTTCTGGATGGCTTTGACTTCATTTTTATACTACCAGCACCTAGCACCATGCCTGGATCATAGAGGAAGCTTGAGAAATGTTTAGAAAAATTTAGAAAAACTGGCAGGACACCTGAAGGTCAACTAGGTCACACGCCC